CAAAAATCATGAGTAAGAAGTCCATTTATTTTTAATTTATGCACAACAGTGCAATCATATGCTGATCAATATAAATATCTTGGCTTGACATTGGATGAACACATGAAGCTATGAGTGTTTTGACTCAGTCAGCTGGTCGAGCTCTGGGATCTGTACTGAACAAAGTTAACACTCTGGTAATCTGGGATTTCAGATTTATACACAACTCTATCATTCATGTGTGTGTCCAGTGTCAGATTATGCTTCTGGTGTCTGGGGTTCCTGGAACATCTAATTTGCAATTCTGTACATCAGAGAGCTCTGAGGTCCTTCTTGGGAGTCCATAAATTAAAGCCAGTCGTCGCTGTGAATGGAGATATGGGATGGGAGCCTCCAAACATCAGACATAAATGTGAAATGCTTCGGCTTAAGTTAACTTGTGATATTCAGAGATAAGAATAATATGTTTGTTATGTACAAAGAGAAATGGTCTGTAGATATATGGTGCAAACCAAAACTAAGAACGTATTGTCTCATAAAGGATTGCTACAGTGTAGAAGCCCATGCTAAGTTTAATTTATCCCTGAAAACTCACCTCTTCAACACCGCCTACAACCACTAACTGATCAACTCTTATTAACAGCATCCTAAGCTGAGCGGTTATGGCCTCAGAAAGTTAAAAACGTATTAAATAAAAGAATTACCTAAAAGAACAATATATATACTGTATATACAAACATCTGTTTTTATATACTAATATCACTTTTAAAACAGATGTTTACAAAGTGCTTTGACTTCATAACATTAAGTCTCTGAGGACAAATTCCTTCTGGTGCTCCATCTTCATGATACATGTATCCTCATGGCACAAGTTCAATTTACCTTCAAAAGACCGCTGAGTTTATATACACTCGTATACCCTTAATGTGTCCTCAGAAACCCTTGATGTGTTCTCATATACCGTACATGTGTTGTCATATACTGTTATATATTCTCATATACCATTGATGTGTTATCATATACTGTTGATGTGTTCTCATTAACATCTTCTTGTTTTGGTTGTTGTAGTTTATCTGGGAAACAAAGAGCCAATAGATTAATATGAGTAGGTAGATATTTACATGATAAGTAAAGGTGCATTTCAATCAGAGGAATTCTTACCTGTCCCTTTTTGCTGAGGTTTGTTGTTGGCTCTAAAATGTAGAATAAGAAAAAATATTAAATATTTCCAGATAGTTGCTTGTGATCATCTTAATTAATAGTTGTCTATTTGAAAGTACTGTTACTGAGCTCATTATGTTTAATCAATAATCAAGGCTAGTCAGTTCAAATTACAACATCTCTGAACAACAATTCATTAAGAAACAAAAATGTCTGACTTGTTATGATATGAAGTTATTACACTCACTTCTTTATATAAAATGTGTCCTGTTATTGTGTCAACCTGAATCTAGTTTAACATTTTCTGTCTGCTTTTTCCTCTGAACTCACTCGTGTCTTCCTTCTGTTTTGTAGCAATCTTTGTCTTTACACCACCTCCATTTTTACATCTTCTGAGCTGCACACTTGTAATATAATTTAACTCTCCTCCAGTCGCTTTCAATTTCAAGTGTTCGAGCAACGCTCTTTAACTACACAAACCCATCACTGTGTTTTTAAACTTCTGCCCTTTGTGCCTGCTTCATAAGCGGATAAGTCTTCCTATCTCTCTGGTAGGCTGGCTGGTATAAACTTCAATAGTTTTCTAACAGCTAGTAATAATGAACTATTACATTCAAACACACTGGGATGAAAAACAAGCTTTCCCAGTTACATTTCAGACCTTTTAACTTACTTCTTTTTGTAGATAAAGTATCCTGCAGCAGCAGCTGCTCCAGGGATCACCAAACATGCAATTACTATTCCAGCGATACAACCACCACTACAGTTTGATGGTACTGCAGGGAATACTAAGAAAAGAGGAGGACAAGAACATATTCTGTAAACAGGAACTGTGCCATACTAACAGCAGATACAAAGCATTCATTGACTTCCCCTGATTTCTACTGACAGATTATTTATGCACTATGGGTAATGAACCAGATTCAGTTTTAACAAGGTAAATGAATGCTTGGAATAAAAACACAAAATCTCCCGACCTCTTATCATTAATTTGAATACTATTTAAAGAACTTTAAGTCTCACAATTTTAATCTGTAGAAGTGCATTTCTAAATTTGACAATTTTCAGAGAATCCTTCAGTAATATATCGGGGCGCTGATATATCTAAATGTTGAATGTTATATATAAATGTTAAACATACATGTCCTGATTCTAAATATTTAGCAACGATTTCTAAATATTTAGAAATGATAGCCTAGTGCATGAGCTCCATATACAGAGTCTATAGTCCTCCAAACAGGCAGCTCCTGTTTAAATCTGACCTGTGGCTGCTTTTCCTCATGTCTTCCTCACTCATTATTTTGAACAGTTAATGAGTACAGTAGTTTGTTACCTACAGTTCACAACCAAGATGTGTTTAGCTTCCATGGAGTTGATGGGGTTGCTGATATTACAGGAATATTCTCCTCTGTCTGTTTTATTTAGACGTTGAAAAGACAGAACTCTGTTGTTATCGTAAAGTATAATGTCAGCTTGAGTTAGATCAGATCCATCCTTCATCCACTTTCTGGTAAACACGGAGCCAGCAGCGTCACAGGTTAAGTTGACAGAGTTCCCCTCTATTGGCTCCTCTGGTGATTGTGTGATAGAAAGATTTGATATTCTCTCTGTTGGACAAAAGATCACAGAAACTTTTTAAATGTATGAAGAACAAAAACACAGGTTCAGCTATAGATAACAATCAATTTAAATATTTAACATTAACATTGTGAAACTTACAATTTCAGTAACTTTAAGACTCACAATTTTAATCTGTGGAAGTGCATTTCTAAATTTGACTATTTTCAGAGAATCCTTCAGTAATATATCGGGGCGCTGATAGCCTAGTGCATGAGCTCCATATACAGAGTCTATAGTCCTCCAAGTAGGGCTGTGTTTAAATCTGACCTGTGGCTGCTTTTCCTCATGTCTTCCTCACTCATTTCCTACTCTATCCATTGTCCTATAATAAAGGCCAAAAGCCCACAAACAATCAATCTTTAAAGTCTCATGAACTGAAAATAGATCAGACACATTTAATTGGTCAAATTGATCTCAAAGACATGTCACACCAACAGAATCTACAATAAACACCGTCTTGTTACCTATTACAGTCACTCCATGCACTGAAGAAGATGATCTTCCAGTTATGTTATTCTTTGCTTGACAGGTGTAGTTTCCACTGTCAGACGCTTCAGAGTTCTTTTTAGTGTACTCAGGAGAATTGAGTATCTCTGTCCCATTCAGTAACCAGGTGAAGTTTGCAGGTGGTTCAGACTCGGCCTCACAGGTTAATGTGAAGGTGTCTCCCAAAGATATGAGATGCTGGCCTTCGATTTGAGTGTTTTCTGGTCCGTCTGAAAAACAGTTATAGTTAAAAAAAAATTTAACGTGTAACAGGTAAAAATAAGTTGTGTTTTAATGTCAGATTTGTATTATGACGCTCATTATTTTGAACAGTTAATGAGTACAGTAGTTTGTCACCTACAGTTCACAACCAAGACGTGTTTATCTTCCATGGAGTTGATGGGGTTGCTGATATTACAGGAATATTCTCCTCTGTCTGTTTTATTTAGACGTTGAAAAGACAGAACTCTGTTGTTATCGTAAAGTATAATGTCAGTTTGATTTAGATCAGATCCATCCTTCATCCACTTTCTGGTAAACACGGAGCCAGCAGCGTCACAGGTTAAGTTGACAGAGTTCCCCTCTATTGGCTCCTTTGATGACGATGTGATAGAAGGATTTGATATTCTCTCTGTTGGACAAAAGATCACAGAAACTTTTTTAAAGTATGAAGAAGAAAAACACAGGTTCAGCTATAGATTAACAATCAATTTAAAAAGTCAACAACAACAAGGACTTTGAGCTTTTCCATGAAATGTGTTTTCCATCTAATTGAATGTCATTGTTTAAAAGGTTTCACCTCAAGTCTTAATGAAATCTTTTAACCCGTAGTAACTTCTCTGCCAGCTTGGGGCATTGGAACAAGACTTAAAAACACAACATTTTTATCAATGTTGGCAAACTAACATCAAATTACTAGTTAGGTAATGCTATAACTACACACCATTCATTTCTGAATGATATTACTGATGTAATGAGTATTAGTATGAATGTAAATACTAAAAATGTGTGATGGATACACTGAGCACAAACCAGACAGGATGAGCTCAGCTGTCAGACTCACTCTGCATGTTTAATGGTTACACCTTATCATATCTGATGACTGGTTCTTGGTGCAATGATTAACCAGTTGGAGCTCCTCCTATTCACTATCAGCACTGGTAAACTGTTTGTTAATTGTTAGCTTCACAAACAGACAAGTTAAAGAAAAAGGAACTGTTTATTTAAAGTTATTTTACTTCCTGTCCCCCAGGCTTTTACCCAATCTCTGATTGTGTTATACTATACTGCTCTTACTCTTTACAGAACTTTTAGCTTTTATACAGAGGTCACTTTTAATCATCACTTGTCAATTTAACTTTTGCCACTCACTTCACATACTTTCACAATTGTCCTGTATAGTTCATTTCACTATTTATATTCTTCTTGTATATACCTCCTGAATTTTGTTTTGTTTGTAATTATCTGACCTATTCTGCTTTGATTTTGTATTACCTACTTCTCTTCTCTTATTGTTTATTTATCTTTATGTATTCATGTGTGACATTTATTCATTTGTAAGAGTTAAGTAAATGTGTATATTATATTTTCTTAAACAGGAACTGAAAACATAAACACAACATTGATCATTTATTATCCAAAGTGCAACAGTTAGACTGAAAGGCTTTAAGACATAAGGCCTAAGATATATAGATCATAGGAGAACTTTGTAGGTGTGGTTGATCAGATATGATTGACGTTTCTAGTTTTAAAATAATAGCGAACAAAGTTATGAAACAAAAACGATACATCTCAATTTTTAAATTAAATCTTCCAAAAACTTGATGGTAGTAATAAAGGTGCTGATGTGACATCGAGCCCTGCACCACAATGGCTTTAATATACATGTATTTACTATTTTTGTCATATATTATAAAAAATATATAATCACATTGAAACATACTAAATCGTACTTAAAGAAGTGTATTGCATTTACATAAGAAGATACAAATCTGCTCTGTTTCCCTGAATTCATGAGATTATATCTCCAAATTACAAGATAGCTTTTCATGACAAAGTTGATTTTGATCTGTGTTTTCATAATTCTGAGACAATTATCTTGTTAATTCAGGAAAACAATAAATTGAATTATCTCGTGAATTAAAACACTTCTGTAGAAACATACTCGCCTGTTTCAGATGTGATGCTTTATATTCAACAGACTATCTGTCACACATTTTATATGACTCCACTGAACACCTAAACACACTCATTTATTTTTTTGCATTAATTGCTGTGCATAATCTCCATTCAGCACTCTAAGATAAATAACAAGTGAAACATTGTCTTACCATAAACTCTCAGTGTGGTTCTGCCTTCAAACTCATTCACAGTTGTAATCCTGACTGTGTATTCTCCACTGTCATTGAGAGACAGACTCCTGAGCTCCAGAGATCCAGTAGAGGGGAAGAAGGTGATTCTTCCCTCATATCCAGGGTAAGTGTAGTTTTGAGTATTTGAAATGATTATAGTTTTGTCCCCAAACTTCCAGATAGTTGATACAAATGGACTCTCTGGTGGATTCACTGTGGTAAACATCACTGTCCCTCCAACAGCTCCATTCAGAGGACCATCTGGCAACAAACCAACTCCACTAGTTAAACCTGGAAGACACAGAAACACTTTTAGAAAATGACTTTAAGGGGATTGTAATAATAACAATTATTCCACAGCATCTGATAGAGATTCAAACTAAAAGGCCCTCTGTTCTTAATGAAGGAAATCATTTCTGCTTTTTGTAGAGGTTAAAGTCAAACTTGAATCAATGATTAACACAAGGCTGGTTTCAGGTCTTTTGTTGAAATGTAATGCAGTGCTTTTATTATTTGATGCTTTCTCTTTCAAAACCCAAACATTGACATGTCCATTAAGGAAAATACAAAAAGAACAGTTGGTCAAACACTTTAGATAGCCTGCGATATACAGTACATGTTTTTATACATTAGGTTAAAGTTTCTATTCATAATATCTACATTGACAGAAGATAATTATTTCCTTGAAAGTAAATTGCTCTCTGGTTGTGCATTTGATATACTAAATATTAGTGTAGCCAATAAAAGTACAATTAAATCAGATTAGTTCAATGTTCTTAAGTCTTGTTTTTTAGCCAGGCTGTACTGAGTTTGAACTGTTTGCTAACTACTTTGAAGCAAGCAGATATTTTTCCAGTCATGGGATCTATATGATGTTGTTGAAAGAAGATATTGATCATTTCCATTTCCTAAAACAAATGATAAATACCAGTTTATGTGACAAAATCTTTCTTTGTGTCCTTGAGTAAGCTGATGGAAAATCTTCATGTATGTGCTGTATCATGGTGATAGCTTACCTGAAAAGACTCCCAGGAGGATGCTGATCACAGCTTTTTCCATTTTATCCAACGTCCCGTCAAGTGTAACAGAGAAAAGAGTGATGTTTCACACTTCTGACCAAGCCCTAAAGGATGAGTGAGTATCAGAATGTGGATTTCGATTATGATGGTCGTATAAGGAAGTAATGTCTAATGTGTTTTGTGTTCATATGTCTGCATCAGTGTAGGAGTGAATTAATCATTTTCATAATTTGATGAAAAGCGACTTTGAAACAGCAATGCAGTGGGGAAAACACCCTTTGACAAAGAGAAGGTAGAGGAAATGGTCCTAAGGGGGTTTGATGGCATTGGGTCTGGAGGACAGGTGGTGGGCCGAGAGTCTAATACAGGCTGAGACACTTTGTCCTCGGTCAGAGGGTTGAATGAGGTGAGTGAGGTAATTGTTAGTGCCAAAATATGAGGCAAACATGTCTGGTGTCAGCCGAGTGGAGGGTGGAAGAGGAGGGGAGTGGAGGAGTGATGATAGTGGGTACTAAAATTTCTCAAGTTCTTAAGATTGTGCCTAAGACTCAAAAATCAAAGAGATGACAGGGGTTGCAGTTTCAAGGATTTATTTCCCATCCAAAGCCGTGGTTTCTGTGGTATCAATGACACATTTTCCAAATTAATAATATAAACTAATCACGAAACTATGAACAAACAATTACCATCTTGATTAAATTAATAGTGAACTCAAACAGATTCAAGAAACAGAAGATAAATAAACATCAACAACAAGTCTTGCTCAGGAACGCATGGCAGAGGTAGTGGATGGAGATCGTAGAGATCTACAGCTTTGAGTTGGGGCTGTAGGCACACCTGCAATAATCAATCCTGCAGGACATTGAGTGGATGTGACAACTCTGTCCACCAGAGGTCGCCATTTAGACTTCCATGGAGAGAATTCACATCAATGAGCATAGAAAGACCTGTGAATCACTATGATTATGTTGTTTATGTTATCATAAACACTATATTAATGAACATCTCTCTGGTTAACTCTAGGTTATGTTGTACTTTTACCATCTACAGCATTAGCTATCTCCACACCAGATGGTTCACCAAAAAAAACAGGTATGTGTCTCAACTACAGCCCCTTTTTCAACCAGGAACTTTGGGGAGCAGGGTATGCAGCTCCTGCAGTGTTGAACAAATCTGTTTGGTCAGGCTCAGCAGGGTTTTAGACCACCTGTAATGTTTAAAATACTGAATCTACAAGCCTGCAAGACTGCTTTTTCCCCACCTCTACCTGTTCTGTTACTATTATGAAAAAGTACAAAAACACTAAGCAAGACTTAAAGAACAGAGGAATGAAACAAACGTATAAATAAAAAGAAAACAACAAAAGAAGAACAGTCAGAGGTATAATCTGGAATCAAAACCTACGCAGTTTTGATTATCTCTGAAGATTATTGAGTTTTAATATATTTTTTCTTAGTTTATAAAGTGATTCATGAAGATAAAAAAGTGGTTTGACTTTTACTAAAACAAAAATACATTTACGCTTGTAATTTCATAATTACAAAAAATACTTTTTTTTTCCAATATCAACTCTTTTTCTAAGTAGGGGTTAATATCATTTATCATCTTATAAAGTGTTTCTTTGGCTTTGGGTGAAATGGGGAGTTGGGATGGGAGTGAGTTTTAATTCTTTAACAAAACACACACTCTCCTTTCAATCATTAATCAATGAATCCATTTACAAAGCAATACAGCCTGCTTTGCATTGTTTATCCAGGACTTCAGGCAGCGTTTGACATGCTGACTACTATAGGCCACAAGAACCTTTAAGTTCATTGAAGAGAAGCCCCTGGAACTAAAAGGGAGAAATAACACTTTCTTAAGTCACCCTTACTGTATAACCCTCCCCCAGGGTCCTACAAGCACCCACATCAAGCTGCACTCTAAAAGTATAAAGCTGACAAAATGTTTGAAAACACATGCTCTACTCACATACTGAGAGTCATGTCAGCGGCTGTGGCTCTGCTGGTAGAGTCGTTGCCTCTCAACCGGAAGGTTAAGATGTTAAAAAAAGTTGCTTGTTTTAACATGCTTTTAATTTCGACGGCATTTGAAATGAGGGAAACTTCAATCTCCTTTCGAGAATAAATGAAGGTTGGAAATGAAATGAAATGTACTGCTTATTTGATTATATGAAAAAGAACCCTATGCTGAAAGTAATATAGTCATTTAATGTTCATGTTGTCAGTGTTTTGTTATCAGCATTTGTAGCCAATGCTTTCCTCTTGCATTGTGATTTTTAGTGAGTATATCACTATTTATATTATTTTTGTATTTTTTCTTAGAATACGATCATAAAATGTGATCAAAAAGTCAATGTCATGTCATATCAATAATGAAATGTAGAGGTTAACATATTGGAGCTGTAAGAATGTGTGCAGGAAGCTGCTTGCTTGTTGTAGCCAATGTTAGCCCCAGCACAGAGCACATGCCATGCTTGTTTAGGGTTAATGTTAGGGTAACAAACAGTACTACTCAGCTTCTCTCCTGAGCGTTAGACTGTGAAATAAAACAGTCCAATATCTTCTTCATTAATGAAATATTTATTTCTCATTCCACTGTGGTCTTCATAAATGTCATTTCTGCATGATCACAACAATTGTCCATAAATTTCCATTCAAAGATTCCATCTGTGTTACCTCATAGCGTGGCAAAGCGGTCAAAAAAGTGTATGTGCTCTCGATCTAGCAACACCTGACACCCCAGTGAAATTTCTTACCTATAAAGAGTATCACCTTAATCCAAAGGTGACACCAGCTGGAACAATTTGTGTCTTACACTTCATACTCCTGAACATGGCTTCTACATCCTTATATCTTTTTTTCTGTGGCACCACAAGCTTTTCCCCCTTTCGTGGGCTCATTCCATAAAATACATACCTGACAAATACACTTTGACATTATAATTAAATACTAAGGTTATGTTACCAGATTGCATTCAGAAATGTTTGCCCTCCACATGGAATGACTTGGTAAATTGACTTTCTCGTCTTCTGACAACTCAAACTACTCAAAGCACCACATGTCAAATTCACCCACTCACATCACATTCACACACTGATGGCAGAGGCTGCTAAGTAGTGTCCATCAGTATCAACTAATCCAGTTAATACACATTCAATCGCCTCTGATGCAGCAGCAGAAGCAATTTGGCATTCAGTGTCTTTGGTTTCAACATGTGACTGCAGGAGCTGAGGATTGAACCGACTCTGCCACTGAGCCACAGCTGCCTCCTATGATTGGTACACCCTTTTTACACGTATATAAATGATTCATTTGATAATGTTAAAATCCTTTATTTTATCCAATCCAGACACAGATATGATACAACGTTTGTCAGTTTGTTGTTGTTTGAGTCCCAACAGGTGTGGTGCAGAATATTAATCAGTCTGAGATCGGGCTGCTGGTCTCCATTTGTATCAGTCTGACGTCTATCGTCATTATTATGAATGGAAATGGGGCTCAAAGAGCTGCTCGACTTCATCCGCTATGATTAACTTTAGCACTTCTGCTTATTATATTGTCATTATAGTTATTCTGTTAATATTAGACAGATCAGTCAATTATCATACTTTATTACTGCTTATACCACACTTACTTTTACCATTTTTACTGGCTTTGTATTTATGAATCAGTTTTATTCATTATTGTTGCTGTTTCTGTTTGTTTGTCTTGTTCTAGCTCTCTTCCTGTAAGCCTAACACAGAGTCAGCAGATGACTGTTCAACATGAGTCTGCTCGAGGTTTCTGTCTGTATAAAAGGGGGCTTATCCTTGCTACTGTTACTTTGCTAAATGTTGTTTTGTGCTGTGCTCATGGTGGATAAATGTTGGGTCTTAAATACTATAAGACTACGGTCTAGACCTGCTCTTTTTGTAAAGTGTATTGAGATCAAAAACATTATGAATTGGTGCTATGTAAAAAATGATTGATAAACCAGTAGAACTTGGCAGGAGGTCTGGAGTTATCAAAGCAGGACAGGCTATTGTATAAACCTTTGAACCTGTGTTATAGTATAATTACACCAGAAACAACATGCATAACCCACCACAAGAGGGCGCAGGTTTGTCAGCTTTAGTCGATGACCCTTCATGCAGACTGTCTTAAAACTCCACACAAAGGAACTTGATGATTGACTTGTGTGACTGGAGCTGTTGAAGGCTCACATGAATAAGCACAGTCAAAGTTTGATGGTTGACCTTCCGTTAGCTGCGTGAATCTCACAAAGAAATATCAATGGATACATTAGCTTTATTTATCGTCTCTGTGTCTTTTACAGGTAAGGTACACCTGTTCTACTTTCCCCGTTCATATTTCCGTTATATTTAAAGTTGTTGAAGATTTGCTGGAAATGATTTAGGTCAATGATTGAGGAGCTAATTGTATTCTAAGTACCAAACGTGCTGCCTTTTAAGTATCTTTAACCATTAAGTTTTCTGAATAGAGAATAAATGTAATGTTAGTCCTGTACATGTGGTTGGGGAAATATGGACACCTTTATTTATCTAAGAAAAGAAAAATGTTACTCTTCTAAAGTCTGAATAATAATCAAACCTTGGTAGTTTAAATTGATTTTTTTTGTTTGTATTTTCTGTGCGCTCTGATCATTCAATGACTGGGTACATTTTTAGACATGATTTCCAAAAGCATCGAAGATAATACGTGATCTTCTTCAAATGTTCACCATTGACAAAGAATGCAGTTGGCTTCTTTCATTAAAAATACATCAAATGCAATGACAAGAACTACAAGGATTTGAAGTGAGACTGAAGTTGTGCGTGAGTTTTCCCTGTGTTTCACATTATTAGAGATCTCCTCAGATGTGTTTCTGTGTCTTCCAGGTTTAACTAGTGGAGTTGGTTTGTTGCCAGATGGTCCTCTGAATGGAGCTGTTGGAGGGACAGTGATGTTTACCACAGTGAATCCACCAGAGAGTCCATTTGTAACAACTAACTGGAGGTTTGGGGAAAAAATTATAATCGTTTCAAATATTGAAAACTACACTCATTCTGGATATGAGGGAAGAATCACCTTCTTCCCCTCTACTGGATCTCTGGAGCTCAGGGGTCTGTCTCTCAATGACAGTGGAGAATACATAGTCAGGATTACAACTGTGAATGAGTTTGAAGGCAGA